TGCGCCAATTTGTACTAAGTAGAAGTATAACAATATGGGGTTGTCGCTTTCAATCATGCAATTAAATGTAACATTCTGACCATACAGCATCTTAAAGTCTCATCATTGAGTGATCACTTAAGACAAACTAGTATCTGGTAAGAGTAACATAAACAAAAGCACAGTAAAATCTAAACTTTAAGTGATCACCTATAATTTAATTGCTCTTGAACGAGTGTGGGTGCCTTAAATAATGACGAGAATTAGCCGTCTGGACAACTCATACAAGTGTGTATTTGCTTGCAATAACTGTGTGTTTACATCGCGAATGGACAGAAGTCGGCGCGCGTCGAGCAGTGTTTATTCAGCGCGCCCTCTTTTGGAAGCAATTGATGATAATAAGACGGAGTGTCTGAGGCTTACGCTGCTACTCCTTAAATAATAACAAATTCTTCTTTCACGGTTTCTGTCAATGTGAGTAGTGTTTATATTACTGACACATTGCAGCAAAAAAAAGTGGTCCTCTAATCATTCTACACAAAACCCCTAGCGCTGCGGTTTGTAATTGTGCACAATCCTTGTCAGACGGCCTATCACACTCAATTGACTACGGCATTACTAAAAAAAAATTCCACTATTTCTTCATGTTGTGGAGGGACCTGTTTTCAAGATACCTACCTTTCTGCTTTGGGGATAATAGGGTCATCTTTTTTGGATGGAAATCTCTCAAAAGGCAATGATCAACCAATTAAAAATGCAAAAAACTATGAAAGATGACATGTTGATTTTTTTCTGTGCAGCTTAAATACATGTGAGAGTTCTGCGTGTGTTTTTTTTTTAAGTTTTTTGAAGTATGGGCATTTTACACTTGTGTCTATGGGAAATTTAATGCAGAAGTGCATCCCGACGATGCTGTTGTCACGTTGCGCCCTCTGTCGTTGTCCGGACGTTCATTTCCCTGTACTGCTGGACAAGAATCAAATTGAGCTGCGAAAAATATGAACCAATCATGGTTTTGATTTTAACATATCAGCTGGTAAGTCACGGCGGTCAAGAAATCCAGAATATAACATGCTGGTGTAATTTATTAAACCTATCCCCGGTGAATCGTTATGCGGAAGTTGGTCATAACTTGTAGAGACCTATTCCGGAAATGCGGACATGTCAAACTTCCTGTACAAACCCAATGCAATTTGTACTTTGCTGTATCGAACTGTGTCATTGTGGTAGTTCAGTTGCGCCATTGATGGGAACCTCATCAAGTTACATTCAAGCATTGCTGAAAGCAAAACTTTAGTATCAAAAGTCGGAATTGACACTTTACATAGTTCCACCTTTAGAGGTGGTAATTTCACGGGTATCGTTAAAGGGGTGTGGGGGCGTGACACCACCCATTAGTTTTGGTCGGCTAAATCATTGTACTGTAGGCAAAATTGTGTGTCCAATCGTGGGTCTGTGTGAAGATGTTGTGAAGCCACCCTCCTCTACCGCTCCCCGTCCCCTACCTCCCCTTCCCACCTTCACTGCCCCCCCCCCCCCGTTTCGAATTTGCGAAGGGATTCGTTCGTGAAGAAAAACTATATCTTTAAGCACAACAATTGTCTGTTGGCAGACTTGTTGTCAATCCCTCCCGATTCAGAGGGTTGGCAATGCTCCTATGAATTGTTCCATATTAATGTTGCTTGTTGGGATTTTTTCTCCCGAAATCAGCATAACTGCGCTACGATAACACCAAGAGTTCTTCTTCTTCTCCCAATTGAGTGCTAACTTCATAATTGAAGACTACAGCACTTGATGTTCATGTGCATATGCTCATATGCACAAACTCATTTGGACACTATCCATTTTGTCACTATGCCCCCCCCCCCTTCGATGGCGAAAGCGTATACTAGCTATTGTTCAGCTATTCCGTCATGGGGCAGTTGCTTTGTTCAATAGCGTGCATAACCGGGTTTTTGTTTTCCATTGAAGCGGCCTCGCAGGTGTATAGTGATCACGTACACGGGTTCGTCTATATGCATGTAATTCAATAGCACCAAGCGCAACGAACATCCGACTAAACCACGGCCGGGGTACGTCATGTTTCAATCCACCTATCAGAGTGTTTCACCCAACAAGTCGGTGATCACAAGTGCGTGGTCTGTGATTGACAGGTTGTGTGTGTCAATCATAAATCACGTGTTTTTGATGTGTCGCCGACATCCATACAATATCCACCAATAACAGGCGGCTATCTCAGTGTCGATGGTCCACGTTTTGATCGTGAGTATATAGCCTCAACGGTAATAATATTATCTTCCGTCTCATTAATATGAAGCAAGTCAGTGATTTGAGATTGACAGCGCGCAGGGGCCAATCCCAAAAGGGCCTGTCACTGCTCAGGAAATCGACTATAAGATTTAAGGCAGTAGTGGCCGCTTCACTCCTCAGAACGACGCAGCTCAATTTCACCTTCAGACGACAACCCGAGAGCTAGAGAAAACTGATTGCTAGAACGACAAGAACGGCATTTACTCGGTGAGTCCTTGAAACAATGAATTTCCCTGAACAAATACAATTGTTGAAGTTGTTGCCTGTTTGCACATAGTGTTTGAATCAGCGTCGGATTTAGATTCTGATTATTGTTGCTGACACAATTATGTTTCGAACAACGAGCGTGATACTAGGCTTGATATTTCCATTTTTTTGAATGCCTGGCATTGCGTTGAAATTTTCCCCACGCGCAATATTTATGTTCTCTCGCGCATATTATAAATCGTATGAATTTTAATTTGTCACACGAATGAATCAGACCTTTTGGAGCAACTTGTGTTTTCTCTGAAAAGTTTCAAATTTTATAAAACAAAGGAAGTTTTCTGCATATGCCCTTTAGGTGAACAGATTTTGGTAGTACGACGGTTGCGCATATACGCCCTTATGCCAGGCTGACAACGCCTTCTCGCAAAGCTTGTAAAAATGTAGTTGCTTTAGGACTGAAAAACAAAATTTTTAGGAACAAAACTTCTTTTAAAATTAATCTTGCGTGACTACGATACTGATACACGCTTACGTACGGCCAAACCAGCTCGCTAATATTCCGATCCGCGCCCGATTAATTTTGGTTCCATCAGTTCCTGGTTACATTTACACATTGTTGATAAAATGTGTGGCTAGTCGGAATGAACATTCTTCAGTTTCACTTTTAGAAGGCGCAAATATAAAGGGACATGATAATCATGCACACAGAATTATTCAAGTCCAAATTGCTTTATCTGATTGGATTCATTTTTAGAAATCATGTGTAGAGTTCATGTTTGTGCAAATTATTCGGCCCTTCTGCTCTGCTGTCTGCCTTGAAAGCTCTCGCATGAATTCACTCAGGTTTGCATGTAGGGTTCCACTCAGTATGCCACTTAGATTTGTTTGAATTGTTTTGTTCTATTTGGGTTGTGTAATAGATTGCGGTTGTGCTGTTGTTAAAGATTGTAACAAATGCTAAAACTTTTCTGCGACATATTCACGGTTGACAAAGATTTTGGCTGATGCTAATAGCCAAACCAGTGCGCTGATATGCCATCCGGAAAATATTCATTATTTAACAACTGTAATGTGACTGCGGTAGTGCACGTATGATTCCTAAACCACAAATTCAAACATTAAAATAATTAGAAAAACAAGGGTTATTTGCATAGCACCTAACCCGTTGAAGCTTTAACTAACAGGATCATATACATTTTGAAAAATAGATCAATTGTCAATCCAAATCACACTTCGCGCGACAGAGTGTGTTTTACTTGTGAAACTGAATTGTGCCTCCCAGCAGTTTTCTCGAACGGATCTAAGTCACTAATTCTGTTGTTATTTTTGTCATCTAGCAATCTGCTCGAGTGTTGGGCATTTGTTTCGTGATAGATTCAAGACAATTATTTCCAGGTGAGTGTCCGTTGAAATAATTTGTGGCCTTTACCCCATCAAGCATCACAAAAGAGCGATGATTGTTGGAAGACTAATTTCTATGCATTTATTTGGGTAAAAATTATGACAGAAACCTTCACCCTCAATAAAAAAAAATAAAAGAGAGGCATTTATAATTTTGGAATCCCCTCCCCTACACCTACCGTATAACATTGCCTGAGTTTTACGCTAATATTCTTTACAGATCATACCTTTCTGAACGTTAGCATAACTCTGTATTTGAAGTACAAACATCAGGTACTTCCGGCCAAGTTCTTCAAATTGACATTCAAAGTAACGATTTATCAAAATAAAAAAAACTCGGTATTTCATCTATTAATTGATAAAACAATTATTATTGTTTCCTCACTAAGGTCTAAATGTATACCAGTTTTTGTTGCTATGTTTTTCAGCCTTAACTGAACTCTTTGTGATCTCTTCTTGGACCTGATCTTCAAGAACAAACTCGAGGTGGGTGTGGTGATGTTTAATTCATGATTTTCTAAAATAAAAATAAAATGGGATGAAAAATAAAAAACCCACAAATGTGTAGTACCTTTCCTTACTTTCATCGGCAGGCAAAATGATAACAAAATATATTCAATGGTTTACCCATACTTGCCATGGAAACCGATTTAAATACTTCGCTTTTTCATGGTTTTTTTTTTATTCCTTGTCCACTGATTCGCCACTTATGTATCGCGGTGAACTCATATTTTCTGAATTATGATTTCTCAAAGCTCTAGCTCTGCACGGTTTTACAAACGACCGCGAAAGTCCATTAGCTTTTGACTAATTCAAAAGTTATCAACTAAAAATAACTGAATATTTTTCTTGACTTTTACCTATTTCTTAACTCTTTTTGCCCCGTTCTCCTTCATTTATTTTGGTCAAATTTTATCTATTTCTTTTTCAGTGCAGCATGAAGATCTTGGGGTTAAACATTATTTCAATCGCCCTCCTTCTGGGTAACTCCGTCAAGCTCCGAGCTTCCGTTACTGGGCCGGCTCCCTCGGACGATGATGGTCCTACGACTAAGGTGTGTCAAATGTGCTGCCAGGGACCTGCCGCAATACCCGGCATACCAGGTCTGCCTGGACCGGTGGGACCCTATGGCCCACCGGGGTCAAAGGGCGAAAAAGGTGAGACGGGACCTATTGGCCTTATGGGTGAGCGGGGAGCACCTGGGAACTCTGGATCTAGAGGAGACGACGGGGTTGGCCTCCCTGGCAAGATAGGACCGAGAGGTCCACCGGGTATAGTTGGTGTCAAAGGTCAAAAGGGTGAGCCAGGAGAGACTCCAGACGACTCCAACCAGCGGGTGGCATTCACCGTGAGAAGGACGAGCAGCTTTACCTCTTCGAGTCACGACACCCGTTTGCCCTTCCAGGAGACCAAGACGCTTCTGGCGGATACCAGCTTCGATCTCGGGACCGGTACGTTCACCTGTAATGTGCCGGGCACCCACGTGTTCATGTTTTCGGTGCTCAAAAATCCCAGCAGCAGCCTTTGGGTTCATCTCCGGGAGAACGGGGAAATGGTTGTCACTGGTCATAGCAGTGATTCGAGTCCCTATGAGCAGGTGTCTGGGAACGTCGTGCTTGTTCTGCAGCGAGGAGACACGGTGTATCTGACTATGTACGGTACGGCGTATAGTAGTTCCAGTTACTACACCTCATTCAGTGGCTTCCTCCTTTATCCCGCATAGACAAACATAATAACCACGCATAATAATACACAAATTTATACACATTGACGAACTTTCAATCACACCTTTGTTTATTACAAACAAAAACAAAAATCAATGAGGAGGCCTAAGTGATTTTTTATTCAATGTTATCAAAACAATTTCATTGATTATTGTAATATTTCATTAGCGCATATGCAGATCGGTAATACGGTGTTAGTCTGGTTCCCAGATCAAACGTTTCCGACTATTCCTTACGAATCTTAGGTCAGGTAGCCTCTGGTAATACATTGTATTACAATTTACTTCACGTGACTAAAACGGGAGGAATTCCTCCTTTTTCCGAAAATGTCAGAAGTTTGCCGAGTTCATTTCGTCGACAATCGGATAGCGCCCGAGTATTTCCGAGTATAACATAGGTTTAATTAACTGCTAATTGCCAATTAAAAACCTGTTTAAATGAGTTGATAATTAATATTCATTGCTTTCATTAAGAAAACTTGAAATTCAACGACGATTTTGTGCATTAATCATGGATGGATCGTATGGGCGAACTTTTTGCTGAGTCGTGTACTATTTTGAATTTGACGACCGTTACCGAGATTTTCCAAAACTCGGTCTTTATTCGGCTCCGCCGCTAGCAGTGCTGTTTGGGTGCCTAATTTCGAATATTTCAGATCTACATTAGTCAATGTTATCTTACAGAAATATCAAACTGTATTATCATAACTGTATGATATTACGAAGCAAGTGATTTATTTACACATTTGATCAGAACGTTAAAAAAGCTATAAGTTATAAAGCGAAATCGGAAACGAAGCCGAGCTTTGAAAAAGGGCCGTCAATGTCGTCATGTTTATTTTTAGCCACGGAGGCTGCCTGACCTACAATTTAGACGTGAGCGTCGGGAATAATTGTCAGGTCTAGGGAACCAGACTAATACGGTGTTGGAATAACTAATGGTTTGAGTGCTGACACTGAATTAGTGTATATTAGAAATGTTATAGCTTACAAAATACTGAAAATTAACGATATCGATATATAAAAAGATCATTCTTTAACGTTTCATCGTTTTTAAAACGTTGGTTGTAGATCTATAATAATGTACAAGCAGAAGAAACGGTCATTAAAATGGTTGTTTGAATCAAGGCAGCATTACAAATGCTTAGTTTTATATTCTTTTGAAGAGATACGTCTGTCCCGTATTAAGCATTCGGATTTTTTTTCATTATTTGTATGAAATAGATATAAATTCGACAAGGCAGCCAACGAGTGAGGCCTATAGATTAAAAAGGTCAATTTAATTTATAAAAAAGGTCAGTATCAATGTAATGTGTAAACGTTATTTGCATAACTGAAATCATTTTGGTAGCAGGTTCAGATGCCTAACATTGCACATTTCAGGGTGATTAAACAAAACGAAACCCAAATGTCGGGACCATTGTTTTAGTGAAGTTCTGCACGTAGCAATTTTAATATCTAGGATTTAAAGGTTCAATGCATAAACTTTTTTTTTAGTACAAAAATCATTCACAACACTCACTTATGTACCTTTTAAGTTACGGAGTTTTAAACACAACCACTGTTTTAAAGTTCTGTCCACGAATGAAAAAAAAGGGTATGCGTTCATTTAGCAAAACGAAAACAATTCACACACATCCTCATGTGATTTGTTTTCGTTTTGCTGAAAGAACACTGAACTTTTTTTGTGATCTTTTGTTCCTCGATAATACACTTATTGCTTAGTCTGTTAGGGATTGTCATATTACAGGGACAAAAGGAAACATAAAGTATTGTCCTCGATCGTATAGAAATTCACTACTATGATTGTGTTCTCTCTGGTTTATATTTTTGTTGAAGGATCATGCCTTCTGGATCCACCCACGCTCACAATGTCAGCATTTGTCATTGGAATCATGTCCTCGGACGCGAGCCCAAGTTTCCGAATAAAGTCTCTCATCGATACCTAAGTGCATTGGAAAGGTGTGTTTCCAGAAAAGGGCATTGAGGCCTATTCTTAGGTGGGCGGGGACACGCCCCTATATCGTTGAACATTTATATTTGTAAAGAAATTGCATTCGCGAATTCCAGCACATGTTCCCAGAATATTCAAAAAAAATTAACTCACCTCGTTTTGTTCCTCCCATGTGTTAATTGCAGCTATAAATTGACTTTGAACGTTTATTTCTTATAAAAATCATTGTTTATGATTGCAATTTTGGTTCGTCAAATTTGACAATAGTTTTATTACAAAAACAATAAATAAATTTGTCTAACGCTTGCCAGAATTAAAAATGTAACTGTTTATAAACGCGTCTCAGAAAAGTGTTGACTAGCCTCTAGTAAATTTGATTATAGGGCTCTGTTTGACAGCTTAAATGATGACCTTTTTAAAATGTTTTATTAAGGCCTTCCTCCAGAGAACATGAAGCTAGTAGAAAAACCACAGCAAACATTCATAAATTATGAGCAGGGGGCGTGTTAACCCTAAAGGGGCCGGGTTATTTTGACCATCTCTCAGCCGGGGGGGGGGGGCGGATTCCGCCCCCCCTAAGATCTCGGCCATCGAGCGACGAAAAATTTTGAAACTCAGCACATGCATAGAGCAACTCCTCCTAAACATGCCCAAGAAATTTCATGACTATAGGTCAAAGGGTTTTTGAGTTATGGCTAATTAATTATTCATATGTATGAATGGCAATTCTGCTCGGTGTACACGACATATATGCGAAAATTCAGTTTTTACGGCGCGTAGCGCCGGAAAATTTTTCGCTACAGGCTAACCCGTGGTCCGATTTTTAAGTTTTTGGTATCAAAAGATGCGCAAAGCTCGAGGCTAAAAAGTCGTAACAGCTCGGGTCGCGAAAAAATTTTTTTTAGAAGCTATCGCGGAAAATGTTGAGGGGGGGGGCGGATTCCGCCCCCCCGGCCCTTTTAGGGTTAAAGGAGCAAATTATGTACAGTCGAGTTAAAAGATTGGCTAGATGGAGCTAACACAGCAGAAGCGGGTAGTGAGTTCCAAAGCCTTGCATAGGATGCTGTAAATGATCTCAGATGTTGTGAGGTACGTGATATTGGAATGACGACTGTATATTGATGGGATGCAGATGACTGCCTGGTAGAACAGGGGTGCTGTGAGTGGAGGTAGTTTGAGTCTGTCCAGAGGATGAGGCAGAGGAGAGCACTGCATTTTCCTGGAGACTGTTAGACCAGCAACTTGCCTACGATAGATTAGAGGCTGAATACCTATAGTTCTGCATGATGCATGAAGAGTTGGTGGAATGGAAGCTATGGCTTTCTTTCTTCAAGGATCCCCAGTTTTGATTTAGCTGCCGTACCACAGATTGGACTGCAATATTCCAATTTAGGCATAATGAAGGATTTGTAGATGGTAGCAGTGGTTCTGCTGTCCAGGTAAATAATAATGTAATAAGTAGGGAATATAACTACTTAAAACTAATAGCCTTTAATAATACGAAAAACTATCCCCTTTTTTAACACTTTGGCTGGACTTCATTCATGTTTTGACACTTTTGTAATAGTACACTGTGTTTGGAAGAACGCAATCGAATTTACAGGGAAGTAAAAGCAAGAAGTTGTTTTTGAACTGGAATCATTTGTCTTTTGTGAATGATAACCAACCAATTTGACACTGACTCGTGAATAAATGGAAGTACTTTTTTAAAATATCTAATTGCTTTCATATTGGAATCATTTTATAGCCAATGGTTAAGTTTGGAATACTTTTGTAGGTGTTGATCTTTGAATTTTGGGCAAGTCAGGATGATCACATTTGGGTCTGGATTCAAAGGTCGACGGAGACTGGTTGACTAGGGTACATGGGTTTGAGGTTGGAATATGGCTTTGAGGATAAAAGCGGGTTTGAGGTTGTGGGGTTTAAGAATGGGGATTTCTGGAAAGTGGGTTAGGGTTAGGGTTGAGAGTAGGTTAGTTTTGAGGGAGGAAGGGGACATGCCAATGTTTCCACAAAAATATATTTTTTTTAAACGAAGTTGTCTACTTATCTAATTTCTTGAAATCTTTACTGTGGTTTCTGTGCAGACGTGAGGCAAATGTTCTCTTTGGACTGCGACTTCAGCCCATCGCCAAATTTATCTCAAAGTTGCGGCGACACAAGACACTGTTGAGGGAGAGAAAAACAATACTTTGTCTAAATCTTCTTTCTTGTTTGTCCACTTGTTTATGACCAATCAGCTGGCCGCAAATTCAAACAGCGGGTCACTTAATATTTGAGATAGCAGCTGGACTATCGTTTCTGTGCAAATGTAAGGCAAATGTTTTGTTTGGACTGCGACTGGAGCCTATCGCCAAATATCTCCGTGTTGACAAAAGACAACGTTAAGGAAGAGAAAAACAATAATTTGTCTAAATCTTCTGTCTTGTTTGTGTACTATTCATGACCAATCATCCAGCCACAATTCAATTCAACTCAATGCATCACTTAATATTTGATATAGCTTGTCCAACTGAACTATCGTTTCTGTGCAAAAATAAGGCAAATGTTCTGTTCGGACTGCAGCTGCACCCTATCGCCAAGACTATCTTCGTGTTGCAACACAAGACACTGTTGAGGGACAGAGAAACAATAATTTGGTCTAAATCTGTCTCGTTTGTCTACATTTCATGACCAATCCTCAGGCCACAATTCAATTCAACGATTTTTGAGATAGGCTGCAGTCGCTGTCCAAACAGAACATTTGCCTGACCTTTTACACAGAAATGATAGTCCAGGTGGACACGCTGACTCAAAAATGAAGGGATGCATTCAATTGATTTGTTGCTAGATGAGTGGTCATAAAATAGACAGACAAGACAGAATATTGAGCCAAAATCTATATTTCATCAACATGTACAAGTATTTAATGAATTCTTGTTCAAGCAGCACAAACGCGTAGATGTTTCTGCTTGATGTCAGGGGTATTTTCTGTACACTGGGACACATGTTATACAACTTTTCTCCGTGGTAACACTAAAGGTTTTTGGGGTGACTACAACAAGGT